GATAGAGTCCAAGTCCAGCTTTTATTAGGATAAGGGTAAGGGCAGTATTTCTTAAAGTTGAAGACCACTTGTTACTATTATGGATGCGCTCAGTGATATATGGAGCATTCCTAATGGTAAAACCAGCCAATAACATCCCAAAAAGAGGTGGAAGTGGAGGCACTGAAGGTATTCTAATGACTTCCAAAAGTTTCCCCCCAATTAGGGAATAATAAAAGACAATGAAGAGTCCAAATAAATTTTCATCAGGGCAATGACCAGGGCTTGAGATTGACCAGATTGTAAACAATATAAGAAGTAAAACTCCAGAAAATACGGCAGGAGTAGTAGGGGCTGGCAGACCAGGCTCTCCTGGATAGGGAGCACCTAACACCACTGCGGACTCTCCCCGGGCTGTGGGACTCTGGCATGAAGCCCACGCCATCTTGAAGGAGAGAGTGGCCTCTTCTAGGAACTCACCACCACCACCACTCAGACAGGCCTTGGACACTACCCACGACCTGGCAGCCACTCCAGCCAAAACCCTGCTGCCCCACCCACAGACCTGCAGACCTAAAGGTGCACAGCTCCCACAGCAGTAAGTGCGACATCCCTGCTCCCCAGCGGCAGACCTCTGGACTCCACAGTCGCATATTTTCAGCGCACAGGCCTCCTGAGCCCACCGCTCCACAGGAAGCTCTGGGGTGCCACTGTAAGCCCCTGTTGGGCGCGCTTTTATACAAACAAGGACGCACTTCCCCGGCAGTAGAAATTCTGAATTCCCTCTTCCTGGATACCTGCCCACAGACACCTGGGTCGCACGGCTTCAGTGCCAGGGCCCCTCAGAGTATGTCAGTGCGCTGCGCTGGCAAATGCACCGCGGGTGCTTCTGTGAGCCGCCACAGGGCGCACGTGTATCCAACCACGGATGCAGCAGCAAAAACTGAGTCTTCCCACCCCACAGCTGCAGACCTCTGGGCACCACAGTCGTGTTTTTCCAGCGTGCCGGACCCCTGAGCCCACCGCTCCACAGGCAGTCTTGGGTGCTGCTGTAAGCCCCCGCTGGGCACATGCGATTTCAAACAAGGGCACAAGGCAGCAAAAATTGGGACATCTCCCTCCCTGGCTGCTGACTTCTGGACACCACAGTTGTACCTTTCCATCATGCAGGCCTACTGAGCCCGCTGCCCCTATAGGCGGCTCCTGGGTGCCTCCTTGAGCCCCGGCTGAGCATGTTCATATCCTAATAAGGGCTCACGGCCCCGGCAGTAGAAGTTTGGACTTCCCCCTTCCCGGCTGCCTACCCACAGATACCGTGGTTGCATGGCCTCCTGAGGCCACCACCCCAGCAGGCAACCCCCGGGTGCCTCTCTGAGCTGCCACTTGGCGCACTCATATCCAATCAAGGACTCAAGGCCCTGGCAGCAGAAACTTGGATATCCTCCTCCTCCTCCTCAGATGCTGACCTCCGGTCACTGCAGTTGCACCAATCCAGCGTGCAAGCCCCTTGAACCCACTGCCCCAGCAGGTGGCCCCTGGGTGCTTCTCTGAGCCACCGCAAGGCACAACCCTGGCTGCTGGCATCCAGTCCCCGCAGTAGCACTGCTCCAGCACAAGGGCCTCCTGAGCCCACTGGCCCAGCAGATGGCTCCTGGGCAGCTCTGTAAGCAGCCATTGGGCATCCATATCCAACCAAGGTGCACATCCCCCAAAGCAGAAACTGGGACTTCTCCCTTCACGGGGCCGGTGGCACACCACAATCACTCCGATCCAGTGTGTGGGCCCCACGAGCACACCCCTGGCAGACAGCTCCTGGGCCCCTCTGTGTGCTGCCAGTGGGCGTGTGCCTCTCCAACCAAGGGTGCATGGCTCCCTCAGTAGGATCCATGACATCCCCCTCCTGGCTACTTACCTATGGACAGCCTGCTGCTGGATCCTTAACCCCTTTCATGATTCAGAGAGAGAAATCACTTTGGCCAGAGTCCCACTGCCTTAATCACAGACTACGAGACCCCCGCCTCCCACTGTCACAGGCTCTGGGCCTCTCATAGTGAGTTGCAAAGTGATGCTAATCCAGCAAGAGTCACACCACACAGGCCAAAGTCACAGTTCCTGAGCCTCAGGTCCCAAGACTCCTTCCTCCCAGGCCATGGACTCTGGGAACCCACAGTGAGCACATAGCAGTGAGACCTCAGACAACCTTTTCCACAAGAGCCGGAACCACAGTCACATCCAAAACTGCTTGCACAACGAAGCTGGGGGTGAGTCACATTGCTAACCCATGATGAGACTTCATCCACGAATAAGAAACTAACATTCAAGATCCAACTACATCAAGAGAACCCAAATAGCTCAAGTAGAGAGCTCCGATAGATTACCAAGCCCAGGAGACCTGAGGGATCACATCAGTAGCACCACCCTCAAAAGAACCTGGGTAGCAAAGCAGTTGGATCTAGGGCACAGAAACAATTGAAACGTTATAGCAAAATATGGGGAGACAGAAAAGCAATCCCCAAAGGAAAGAAAAAGAAGACCACCAGAGAGTTAAATGAAATGGAGGCAAGTAATATGTCAGAGAAAGAGTTCAGAGTAATGGTTATAGCAGGGGTCCTCAAACTACGGCCCGCGGGCCACATGCAAATACAAATATTGTATTTGTTCCCGTTTTGTTTTTTTACTTCAAAATAAGATATGTGCAGTGTGCATAGGAATTTGTTCATAGTTTTTTTTTAAACTATAGTCCGGCCCTCCAACGGTCTGAGGGACAGTGAACTGGCCCCCTGTTTAAAAAGTTTGAGGACCCCTCCTCTAAAAGGACAGTGATGTCAGTGACGCACAAGCCTACAACTGTGAGGTAAATTCAAGAAGAGAAGTCAGTACCGGCCGGTGTGGCTCAGTGGTTGAGCATTGACCTATGAACGAGGAGGTGAGGGTTCGATTCCTGGTCAGGGCACAGGTTGAGGGCCCAGGTTGAGGGCTGGATCCCCAGTATAGAGGGCGTGCAGGAGGCAGCTGATCAGATTCTCTTTCGTCATTGATGTTTCTCTCCCTCTCCCTTCCTCTCTGAAATCAATAAAATATATTTAAAAAAGAAGAGAAGCTGGGCCCTTGCAAAGCAAAGCAAGGAATAGAAAACCTGTTTGAAGAAATAATGACAGAAAACTTCCCTGATATTGGCAAGAAAAAAAAATACGCAAGTCCAAGAAACACATAGAGTGCCAAACAAAATAAACCCAAAAAGACCAACACCAAGACACATCATAATTAAACTGGCAAACATCAAACATCAAAAGGCTGCCAGAAAGAGAAAGTTACCTACAAGGGATCTCCCATTAGAATATCAACTGATTTCGCAACAGAAACACACCAGGCCAGAAGGGAATGAGTTCCTTTATATATCCTGAATCTGTCTTTTGTCAAATATGTGCTTTACAAATATACATTTTTTCCTGATCTGTGGTTTGCTTATTTGATTTCTGAATGATCTCTGGATACACAGCCATTTTAAATTTTGTTGGTCTAATTTATCATTTATTTTCTAAGCATTGCTGTTTCTAAGAAATCAGTTGCCCATTTCCAAGTCGCAAAGCTATTCTCCTTTTTCTTCTGAAGGCCTTGTTTTAGGTTTTTAAATTAGCTTTATGATCCATTTTGGCTGAATTTTTGTGTATACTGTGAGGGGGTCAACTTTTTTTTTTTCATATTGACATCCCAATTGTTCTAGTACTATCTGTTCAAAGTTTCCTTTCCACATAGGATACTTTGGCACCATTCATTCTAATTCAATATTGTTCTTTTCTTTGGTAAGATTACTTTAGATATTCTAGATCAGGGGTGGGCAAACTTTTTGACTCGAGGGCCACAATGGGTTCTTAAACTGGACTGGAGGGCCGGAACAAAAGCATGGATGGAGTGTTTGTGTGAACTAATATAAATTCAAAGTAAACATCATTACATAAAAGGGTACGGTCTTTTTTTTTTTAGTTTTATTCATTTCAAACGGACCGGATCCAGCCCGCAGGCCGTAGTTTGCCCACGGCTGGGTTAGACCATAGGCCCATGCACCAAAGGGTCACGGGTTCAAATGTTA